TGCAGAGTCTGTACTGGCGCTAGACTGCACCCGTGGTAGCCGGCCCAGCAGGGGTGAACCGTGCAAGGCCCCTAACAGCTTGTCCATGCCGACAGAGGGCTCGCATTTTAGCTCTGTAAGTAGATGAGAATAAGGGTCATTATAGCTTGACGATTAGGCAGTTCTAAAATCCTCTGGATTCATTTACTTGGCGAAAAGAAAACACTACATTGCTACAAGCAATGGCTTCAAGGTCATAAAGCATGCTCTCCTATGGATGACCATAGTGAGTCATGAGACTCATGATCTATTTTGTTAAGATCGCCAGTCCATCGAGCATGGGGCTCTTCGTTGTATTTATCAAGAGGCGTTTTCTATTGTACTCGGCCGCAAGTTCAAGTTACTCCAGTACCAATTATTTTAAAGAATTTTAGGATTTTGTATTTCATAAACACGGATAGTTCCTTTATTCTCCCCCCCCAGCTAACTTTAAATACGAGTATGAACTTGTGTTAGGAGCACAATACGAGTAGTCCAGCGGCAGCAGAGATCAAATCAACGTTCCTGGGGTCTCGAGTCAGCCAGTCCGTACCTTCACCGTTGATTAATTGTCTTCATTGAGCTTTTTGAAGAAGTTAGTCCATTGAGCCGGGCGTTTTACACCACGTTTGCACAGAAGCAGTCATTAGCTACTTAAGTATCCATTTACTCCACCTTTTTTCTAACATACCTGACAGCTGTGTTTCCTTCTTGATGGTCAAGTTCTGCACCTCCCCTAGCGAGGTCTGCGGCATTATCGGCACGTTGTTCTGGTCGAGGACCAGTGACGTGGCGCTGCTGGGAGAGGAAGGCCGCCTGGCTAACGAGAGGGAGGTGTTGTCTGTGAGGACTGATATCTGAAATAAAGATTATAAATGAGCGTTTTGCTGAAGGTCGGTCGGTCCTTTTGACTGGGATTTTGTCTATTGCGAGGAATTCAGGGAGCTTCTATCTAAAATGTACTCGGTACTCTTACAGGATTTATTAGTCGATTGCGAGGAGAATTTGGGGTTTTGAAATACACCCAATTTGTGATACTCTGCATACCTACTTACGAACGAATGTTCTTATTCTAATTCTGAGAACGTTAGACATGGGAAGCGTGCCCTCTAAAATACGGATTCTTGCGATTTCCTAACAAAACTAGGCAACAAATACAAGTTATTTACACTCAGAATCTCAATGTCTAAACAATCTCATACTTCGCACTGGACTCATACTTCGAGCCTCGGTTTTGATGGGCTCCGTCTTGATGGTGACATCATTGTTTCAATAAATGAATGATGAAGTACCAACCCTGTTCATACTGAGGCTCTTCTGATGCGGCTGCACCGCGGGGTACTTGAGGTTCAAGGCTCTGGAAGGGTATCCTTCCGTTTGGCCAAATTACTTTTCGCCAAATTTCACTTCGCAAACAACTTATCGCCACAGTTTCATTTCCCAAATGAACTTTTAGCAACTGTACTTTTCGCAACTGATTCATTTGGTCAAATTATCATTTGGCCAAATTTTACTTGGCAAATGTTTATATAGCAAATGTTTTATGTTGCCAAATATTATATCCCAAATAATTTGTTTGGTCAAATTGACACTTCACATACTTACCCACCGTTACCACAGAATAAGTAATAGTACAGGTACAGAAGGATTACTCCGCACGACGATTTAAATAAATGCGAGTCTTGCTGCGACGCGATACAGTGGAATTCAGCTCGCACAGCACTACGTACCTACAATTTTATTCACCTACAAGTTTTGTCTCTTTCTATCGCGTGCCTCTGAACTCTTCTTACGCTGTTAGGGTTGCTGTCTAGTGAAAAAATAATTAATCTACTTATTTGTAATGAGGTACGTATGTAGGTAAGTAAAAATAACATTTCAAATATACCTAATTAGGATTAAAAAAACTTGTTCTATTACAATGTCTTCATTCATACCTACCTATTTTAACATAAGACAGATAAATTAAACATACTATTACAGAAAAAAAACTGTGGTCATCCAGGCTCTGGAAGGCCTCGGTTTTGATGGACTAAGGTGGCTTCTTGTCCCTAACACATGATGATAATGCAGTACTATGTACCAGTATGTTCATATTGAGGCTCCTCTGATGCAGCTGCAGCGCGGGGTACTTGAGGTCCAAGGTTCTGTGGTCATCCAGGCTCTGCAAGGCCTCGGTTTTGATGGGCTCCGTCTTGATGGTGACATCATTGTTTCAATAAATGAATGATGAAGTACCAACCCTGTTCATACTGAGGCTCCTCTGATGCGGCTGCAGCGCGGGGTACTTGAGGTCCAAGGCCCTGTGGTCATCCAGGCTCTGGAAGGCCTCGGTTTTGATGGCCGAATGTGACTTCTTAGCCCATACACATGATGAGAATGCAGTACCAACCCTGTTCATACTGAGGCTCCTCTGATGAGGCTGCAGCGCGGGGTACTTGAGGTCCAACGCTCTGTGGTCATCCAGGCTCTGGAAGGCCTCGGTCTTGGTGGGCTAAGGTGGCTTCTTGTCCCTAACACATGATGATAATGCAGTACCAACCCTGTTCATACTGAGGCTCCTCTGATGCGGCTGCAGCGCGGGGTACACAGAATAAGTAATAGTACAGGTACAGAAGGATTACTCCGCACGACGATTTAAATAAATGCGAGTCTTGCTGCGACGCGATACAGTGGAATTCAGCTCGCACAGCACTACGTACCTACAATTTTATTCACCTACAAGTTTTGTCTCTTTCTATCGCGTGCCTCTGAACTCTTCTTACGCTGTTAGGGTTGCTGTCTAGTGAAAAAATAATTAATCTACTTATTTGTAATGAGGTACGTATGTAGGTAAGTAAAAATAACATTTCAAATATACCTAATTAGGATTAAAAAAACTTGTTCTATTACAATGTCTTCATTCATACCTACCTATTTTAACATAAGACAGATAAATTAAACATACTATTACAGAAAAAAAAAGAATCCTATACTATCCTAAGAATTTTATTATTGATTACCTACATGGCCAACATACCTTTCAGCATCTTTGGGAAGCGAAAAAAAAAGATAAATCCGGTAATTTCTTTTCGAATTTAAACACCCGAACGCCGCACAATATTTCTTTCTATTTATGTCCATTTTTAAATAATACTTCGATCATAGAATTATAATCATACTAAAACGCAAGCCAGCGTCCTGACGGGCGAGCGCGTGACACTCGACTGATATAATACCCGCCGGCGGGGCGCTTCGCTGTAGGTAATTATCGGATGTACCACGCGGAGTGAGCCAGGCCTGCCGTTACCCACAAATCAAAGCATAAGGCACATGATCATGGTTTTCACAATAATTTTATGTAAAACATTGCAGAAAATAGTATGGTTGCAAAAAGTAGGTATTGCAGAAAATAGTAGGTTAGGTTAGGTTAAAACAGTGACCCTTAATGCGCGAAGGCAAGCGAAGCGTGCCGCGGCAGCGGCCGCCGAGCGCTAGAATCACCTCTATTGTTAATGAATCATTTGGAAATTTCGATGCAAAGAATGAAATAAGGAAATTAATGTAGAACAAATTTTATATTAACTCCCCACTAAACAAAATAATAACCATAAGCTAATTTGTATACCATTCTATTCACCAATCAAATTATTTTGTAAATAGTTTGTCGTGAAATATTTTTGCCTAATGAAACATTTGGCAAACCATACTTTGCCAAACAATAATTTGCTAAACAATAATATGCCAAAAAAAACATTTGCGAATTAAAAGTTTGCAATAAGTTGCTTTACCAAATGAGAATTTGCCAAATGAAAATTTGCGAAACGTTGTTTGCGATGTGATAATTTGGGAAACGTTTTTTGGCCAAACATTAGTAATCCCTCTGGAAGGCCTCGGTTTTGATGGGCTAAGGTGGCTTCTTGTCCCTAACACATGATGATAATGCAGTACCAACCCTGTTCATACTGAGGCTCCTCTGATGCGGCTGCAGCGCGGGGNATAAATATCACCGAAAAGCCCTACCCCGTTACTAATAAAAATATACGTGAATTATTTTAATTGTTGAGTGTCAAACAATTTTTCTGATTAACTGAACAGAGGGCGCCACTTCCAAGCAAATCTGTCAAACTATTTTTAAAAGAATATGTAATAACCATAGCCTCTGTGCCTTACTTTATATTTGTGTGCCAATTGTATAGTTTCTGTCTTAGCACCTAATCCTACTTGTTTTGTAAATAAATATCGTTTAACTCAAATTCATAAGTACATCAAAATAAAACCTATTTTTATGAAAAAATGTACTAACCCCTGAGTAGGTGTATAAAATATGTACAGTTTTATTAGTAAAGGAGTATTATCTTTATTATGTACAAGTAATATAAAAATTACATAAAAATAGAGATACTGTATCGAGTAAAGAGTCCAAAATATAATCTAAATAGTTTGGAGAGCAACTGTAAAATGGATCGAAAAATAAATGCATTTAAATTGTATATGTTATTACATAAACTACATTGGCACGATATATTTACTAATATAAAGCGAATGTAATGATATTTACACAGTCTTTTATAAAGGCCGAAACAAGTAATGATTTTTAAATTATTTTTAATGCAATAATGATTGTCGCCATTATTATCAGTTTTAATGCATTTCTGTGATGAGTATTATAATATTTTTAATGCCAAACACACAGAGAATACAATAAAAATAAATGTTGGAATATACCTACTCGCCAAATTCATCCTTAAAATACGAGATAAAATAGCAAAAATAGCAAGATACCATAAACAAGTTTGTTTCCAACGATTTTTTCATCCCCGAATTAGACGAGTATTGATTCACCGATAATCCAAATCTGAGTACAATATGACACAATTTCATCAATAAAGTTCATAGCAGACTTATCAACTCGGAAAGGGATCAACACCGTATCGCCTTTCGCGAGCTGTCATTGCCTTTCGCGCGCTGTCAATTGCGAGGCGAGGCGTTTACGTTATAAGTGCGTTGCAGTATGGAGTTTCATAAAAAGAATACTTGACCGCCTCGAGTTGATACGGTTACGATCCCTTTCCGGGTTGATAAATGTGCGACGTCCTTAAATGATCATCTCAAATCTAAGTGATGATGCGATGTTGATGATAGACACTCTGTCTATGATGACAATGACGTGACTAAGATTAATCGTCGTAGAAAACTAGAATTTCATTTTTACTCTTGAGCAATATGTTTCATAAACCTGTCAACAGGCTCGAAGTTTGACCGTAAAGTGGGGGGTGGGGGTCAATGGTCCCCCCTTAATAGTTCCATAAGGAGGTTGAAGCTTGGCCCCTCCCCATCTTTACCTTTGTTCGCCGGGTTGAGCATTTCTTTGCCGACTTGCATGAAAAACTGTAACAAAAGCAAAACATGATGTTAACACTGGAATATCGACTCTAAAACTACTACAATAAAGTTTGTTTTTATTCAGAAAGTCAGTAGCAGTAATAAGAAACTTCGCCTTGACTGCTTTGTTAGTCCCAAAGGAATTAAGACTTTCAGAATACTAGCTGTTGGGAAGAAAGTCTCTGGAGACGGTATTGTTGGTATGCGGACCGATCGATAAAAAGCAGCACGCACAGATGTAGCGCCATCTATGTTGCTAATTAATACAATGGTATTAATTAGCTTATCCCGACTCTCGGTATAAAGTAGTTTAGTTATAGTCTGGTCCGTGAGCACGTAGAATTTTGTCCAATGACCCCTAGCTACCCATCTTTATCGCTCGCGCGTAAATTATGCTGCAATCGCGCTCGCACACTTACTGCGGGTGCCAGTCGCACAGTCGCGACAGCAATATAATTACGCGCGAGCGATGAGGATGGGTAGCTAGGGGTCATTGGACAAAATTCTACGTGCTCACGGACCGGGCTTTAGTACAAATATTGGTTTACAACACTAGCATAGAGTGTATTCTCACCTGGCAAGTCCGCTGTAGCTCCGGTATGCGCAGGAGCAACTCTCCGAACTTAGCGGGAGTATCTGGCGAGTGCGCCGCTGTGTACGCTTGAAGCGCTGCGAGCGCTTTCTCTTGCGACGCTCGCACTTTTTCTGACTCGCGGAGTTCGGGTGTATCTGTAGAAAAAGTTTTATTTTATCTATCTGTTGGTAGTGGGTTACCCCCTTTTTATGGTCACTTTAGTATACTATACCTATAGATTTTTATTAATCCATAGACAAATGATAACTTACCTGACGTCAGAAGGACGATGACTTTCAGCGCTACGTATTCGTATCGGTCTACTCGTAGTCTTCTCAAGTGGTCGGTGAAGCTTAACATTCTCTCTATACACGGTGTCAAGCCCAGCCTGCAAACAAAAAATAAAGGTGAGTTTATGTAACTAATCCTATCACTCTTTCCCACCATAGCAACTCCTGTATCGTCAGGATCTACAGCCTAACCAATGAAGATTGAGCAGTCCCAGAGGATAGCTTGTTGTCTTAAAGCCCGCAACGAATTTAATCAGAATACTATAGAAATCCAAAATATATCAAAGATAACTGAAAACTACTGAAAAGGTGGAGGTGAGTGTGGCGTTGTGGTTCCGGCAGAGTAGAACAGGACCACTAAGAGGACACTAAGTGGAGAGTCTTATAGACTAATGCCCGTTTTCACCATCAATCCCTAATTTTTAAGTGACCCCTGTGAAAACAAAATTAATATTGTTTTATTACCCTAGGGGTCACTTAAAAATTAGGGATTGATGGTGAAATATGACCTTTTTTTAAAGGTTATTAAACCTTTGTTTGTCACCTGTCATCCGCTTTTCAATGGAGGGAGGTCAAACTTTAATTTCGAACTCCTATGTTCTTCTGATTAATTTCGTTGACCAATGACAGTTTAACTTTCCCTCGGGACAAACTTGACCTTCTTTGGTTGGGTTTTTACGGCGGTTAAGCTGTAGATACTGTCTACACAGGAGTTGCAGCGGTGGGAACGAGAGGTGGGAAGTCCCGTATATATTAAGGTCTACTTTAATTTCGAACTCCTATGTTTAATAATTTAACTTTCCACCGGGACAAACTTGACCTTCAGTGGTTGGGTTTTTATGGCGGTCAAGCTGTAGATTCTGTCTACAAAGGAGTTGCAGCGGTAGGAACGAGAGGTGGGAATAGTCCCGTATATTTTAAGGTCCCTTTGACCTGCTGATAGTTCACTTACTTGGCACTCTGGTCCAGCGTGATGCCGCGGCCTCCGCCCACGCGCACTTCTCCAGGAGTGCCCACGCCGCGGTAGCAGCAAGACAGCACCAGCAGTTCGCACCAGCTGTTGATCAGCAGACAGATCTGGTCGTCAATCTGTGGATCAATAAGCGTAGTTAATGGACCTGGTAAATGACAGGGTCATCCTAATGAGTGAGTCGACCTCGTAATGGAGATTAGATGACCTGATGATGATGATTGTGGCTTGCCCTAAGGTCATTGGTATCGAGAAAAAGTTTGCCTATTCCTCATTATCATCATCATTTCAGATACAGGACGTCCACTGCTAAATATAGTCCACCCCCAATCATTTCTATATTAACCGTTGATAAAAAGTTTACCAATCCCTCATTATCATTTCAGCCACAGGAACACTGCTGAACAATGATAGACCTCCCCCAATGATTTCCATACTGACCGGTTGTAAGCGGCTTGCATACAGCGCCTTCCTGCTCCTTTATTAGGTTGTCTGTCTACCTTTTAGGTGGACGTCTCACGCTGCACTTTCCGGCACGTAGCATCCGATCCAAAACCTTGCTGCTCCATCTGCCGTCAGTTCTGCGTACTTTTACCCTGCTAACTGCCACTTCAGATTGCTATTCCGTCGGGCTATATCAGCGACTTTATTTCATTTACGGATCTCATTTCTGATTCGATCTCGTAAAGAATCAGCCAAACTTGCAACAAATACTGGCCGGTTGAAAGCGGTCTACATCCAACGGACACGTAGCCTCCACTGTAGAGCCTTGCGGAAACTCTTCTGGAGATACGAGGTTACACCTTGCCTGCTCTATCTAAGTGACAAATAATACTCACAGATATATTCTTGAAGAGCGGCAAACTCTTGCACCACTTGACGATCTTGTACAGCCTGTGGTCCGCGATGTTGCACAGGTCGGCCAAGAAGTCCGGGCTGGAGTTCTGCGCGGTGATCCCGCTGGCGGCCAGGAGCGGGTTCGCTGAGGGACTCCCGGGGGACTTACCTTAAAGTCTAAAGTATCAAGAGACAGTGTGCCAATCTCTCATCATCATCATTTCAGTCACAGGACGTCAACTGCTGAACATAGGCCTCCAATGATTTCAATACGAACTGGTTGATAGCAGCCTGCATCCAGCGCCTTCATGCTACTTTTTTGAGGTCGACTCACGTTGCGCTTTCAGTACGTGGCCACTCCAGAACCTTACGGAGACTCTTCTGGAGATACAAGGTTACTCCTAGCTAATCTCTGCTCTATCTGCAGACAATACTCACAGAAATATTCTTGAAGAGCGGCAAGCTCTTGCACCACTTGACGATCTTGTACAGCCTGTGGTCCGCGATGTTGCACAGGTCGGCCAAGAAGTCCGGGCTGGAGTTCTGCGCGGTGATCCCGCTGGCGGATAGGAGCGGGTTCGCTGAGGGACTCCCGGGGGACTTACCTAAGTCTTAGGTATCGAGAGACAGTGTACCAATCCCTCATCATCATCATTTCAGACACAGGACGTCCACTGCTGAACATAGGCCTCCCCCAATGAATTCCATACTGACCGGTTGTAAGCGGCTTGCATACAGCGTCTTCCTGCTCCTTTATGAGATCGTCTTCTACCTTGTAGGTGTACGTCACACGCTACGCTTTCTGGTATCTGGCCTCCACTCCAGAAGGTTGCTCATCGGCCGTTAATACTGCGTACTTGTACCCTGCCAACTGCCACTTCAGCTTGCTAATCCGTCGAGTTATATCAGCGACTTTAGATCGTTTACGGGTCTCCTCATTTCCGATTCGATCTCGTAAAGAATCAGCCAAACTTGCAACAAATACTGACCGGTTGAAAGCGGTCTGCATCCAACGGACACGTAGCCTCCACTGTAGAGCCTTGCGGAAACTCTTCTGGAGATACGAGGTTACACCTTGCCTGCTCTATCTAAGTGACAAATAATACTCACAGAAATATTCTTAAATAGCGGCAAGCTCTTGCACCACTTGACGATCTTGTACAGCCTGTGGTCCGCGATGTTGCACAGGTCGGCCAAGAAGTCCGGACTGGAGTTCTGCGCGGTGATCCCGCTGGCGGCCAGGAGCCGGTTCGCTGAGGGACTCCCCGGGGACTTGCCTTAAAGTCTAAAGTATCGAGAAACAGGTTGCCAATCTCTCATCATCATCATTTCAGCCATAGGACGTCCACTGTTGATTATAGGCCTCCAATGATTTCAATACGAACCGGTTGATAGCAGCCTGCATCCAGCGCCTTCATGCTACTTTATTGAGGTCGACTCACGTTGCGCTTTCAGTACGTGGCGACTCCAGAATCTTGCGGAGACTCTTCTGGAGATACAAGGTTACTCCTAGCTAATCCCTGCTCTATCTGCAGAGAATACTTACAGAAATATTCTTAAATAGCGGCAAGCTCTTGCACCACTTGACGATCTTGTACAGCCTGTGGTCCGCGATGTTGCACAGGTCGGCCAAGAAGTCCGGGCTGGAGTTCTGCGCGGTGATCCCGCTGGCGGCCAGCAGCGGGTTCGCTGAGGGACTCCCCGGGGACTTGCCCAGTCGGTTCAGTTCAGACTCGTTGTATTGCCATAGATGCTCCACTTCCATTATTTCCTGGAGGATGTAAGGTGTTCTATTTAGAAAATAGTCAGTGGGCTTGTTGTGTACAGTTTAGTTAGGTAAGAAGAAAGGTGAATTGAAATAAAAACTGCTTTCGCATACAATGTCCTTGATTGTAATTTTTGTCATCGACTCGTACTCATGTCATATTGGCTGTGAAAATTCGTTGTTTGTTTCTCTTACATACAGCTAAGCATAGGTAAAGTCCGGTCGCCGAGCAGATAGAATTTCGTCCAATGACCCCAAGCTACCCATCCTTATCGCTCGCGCGTAATTATATTGCTGTCGCGACTGTGCGACGGGCGGCCGCAGTGAGTGTGCCAGCGCGACAGCAATATAATTACGCGTGAGCATAATCCATCATTAAAAAAAGGGACTCAGTCATACGAGTACATCAAAATACATTGGAATCTCATTGCATAGGAATCACTGTGTAGTTTTTAGATAAAAAATAGATCGCTATAAGAACCCTGGGTTCTTCGTTTAGTACGAACCTGCAATAATGGGGGTATGTCAGGCGTGAGTCGACTGTTACTCGATTCCCCTCTACTGTTATATGACCCGGGGCCATTTACCTGTAACAAATAAGATTGCCTTATTTACCTTATCTAAACTTATTATGTACTTATAAGCACATGGTTCTAACTTCTAAGGTGTCTATTGTATACCAAACTTTAAACTTTACATTTAGCAATAAAACACGATTTTTTGCCATCATCAAGATTTCTTTTTTCGGTCAAATCAAATGTACAAGGATGTTTCAGATAGTTTCAAACCAGTTAGACTAACCGCAGTCATAATTTATTTATTACAGTAGTGTATTTATATTGTTTTTAGGTATTTTATTGTATTTTTCGCGGCCAATGCCGCAGGCAAAAGCTAGTAGGTTTAGTATACGTACGCAAGTGAGACTATTCGCATGTCGCAGCGTAGACGGCACGTGCGCGGATAGCAGCGAGCCCGTAGACGCGGCACCAGATAGCGAATACGAGCACTGGTACGTCGAGCGACCGCCGCGCGTTCTATCCTCTCTTATTGCTGTAGGAATAAGGATCAAATTAGAATGTAACCCTCACAGCGAGCACCAGCCCCTCTGCCAAGAGTAGAGATTAAGAAAAAAATTACCATGATGGTGAAGAAATTCACAGCATGACCCCAAGTCCCTAACAGCTAGCCCCGCTATCCCGGACTATATGGCCCACTCGATGGGCCAACGATTTCTCCCTGGGACTAAACTTTCATACAGCACTTGTAGGTAAATGGCGAGAAATAGACATGATTTTAGTTCATAAAGAAAAATCATACACGTAGATAAACCTTTTAAATGTCTGATCCCAGATCTAATCCTCTCGAACTCTGTCACGTTACGTTTTTTTTTCACTCAAAGAATCAAGGAATTTAGTACTTTTACGAAGTTTCAAGGTAATCTCACTGTAAAAAGGAGCACTTTTGGCACAAATCTTTATTTGCAGTGCTAAAAGTGCTCCTTTAAAGGTAAATAAACAACTTTATGAATTCCTCACCTTCCAGCTTCATCCCGCACCCTAAGCACTTGTCGAATCTACACGCCGGGCACTTCTTCCTGGTAGCCACGGTCACCGGACAGTTCCCGCCGCGCAAGCACATGTAATTCTTGCGGTTCTGCACCGTCCGCTTGAAGAAACCCTTGCAAGATTCGCACGAGAATATGCCGTAGTGGAAGCCGCTTATCTTGTCGCCGCAGATGGGGCAGGGGCTGGAATGAGAAGAAAGGTCAGAAAATTTAGGGAAAATGGCGCTACGTCGTTCTACAAAAGATTGAATTTGATTGGAAATTGATATTGTTGGCGCAAAACATGAGACTGTGGAAATATCGAGAGGTGCCAGGCTTTAGATACGGGAGCAATGTCTCACACGCGCACCGCGATATGTCAAATGGCAATCGTATGTATCAAACGCGCACGAAACGGTAAGTCACGCACGTAGTTACTGTACGTAACAATGACATAACAATCGTATATATGTTACGGCTAAAGATAGTTGTTAACATAAACTTAAGATTAGCCGGCTAAACTTAAGTTTATCTTCGAGAAGCAGCTAAAGTTCGATAACATGTTAGTTTGAGTCGTGATATTCCATCTTTAGCCGGCTAATGTGCACATTAGCCAAAACGAAACGGCTAAAAATGTATTCGATGGGCGCTCCAGGTCGGCGGAGGGCTTGAGGGGGCGGTGGGCAGACAACGCGCGCGCTGTTTTATTTTGTAATTTTAAATACCTACAGAAGATTCTGTAATGACCAAATGGTTCCTTATTATTTTATTTTAATGATTAGGTATATATTGTTTTAAGTAATTTTTTTTATTGTAATTATTGTAATTTTGAATACCTACTACATAGGTACATAAAAGTATGTATAATGAAAGCGATTATTTTTTAATAAAGTTTTCGTGTCTAAATAGTAAATATTATTACATTGTTTCCTTTTCCATTTCCTTCTACATTTTTAGCCAAGGGCCTGCGGTTACACTTAAGTTTAGCCGGCTAAAGATAGAAGAAACTAACATTAACACCTCGTCGAAGATAAACTTAAGTTTAGCCGGCTAATCTTAAGTTTATGTTCACTCCTATCTTTAGCCGTAACATATACATAATAAAATCACCCATAAATCAATTCATATGATACGCACTCATCAAGCTATTAGCACCGACGAAGTTTTTAAGTTTAATCAAGGTAAGTGCGAGAATATCCTGCCAGTATCTCTACCTCATCTTAAATTCAAGTTTTTCTTTTTTTTCTCCAGTTTGAATTTAGAAGCAGCTCTGTTGCATGTTTTATTTTTGGTCACATTTTTCCTCCTTTACCTGTTGATAAGCTGCTGCCGGCTGATACCCTGATGATGGTGCAGCCTGTCATCAGTTTCCGTGTCCTCGTCGTGCGCGGGCGACGCGGGAAACACCGGCGCCGTCGCTTCTCGGTATACCACATGCGGGTGTCGGCCCTGAGAGAAAATGAGGTGCAGTTTGTAAGTTTGTGTCTTGAATTAAGTACTAAACTGAGTTTGAAGAATCTTTCAATAGTAGAAAGTCACGTTACTTCGTGAGTGACTTTCGCCATGAAGAGAAACCGAAATACACGTTGACGAAGACAAGGGAAAAACTGTTGTCCGCTTTAAGGAGAGATGTTTTTCATTATCTGAATGTTATTGGACAACAGGCGGCGCTGCTAAGTTTCTTTTTTGCTGACTAAGCAAAGGCGAAGGTAACTAGGACAAACTGTATGTAATTTAAGAGGCAACAATAGCCCAAGGGCATGTTACTACAGCCGTGGTCTCAGGCAGAATGAAATACTAAATAATAAATGTCTCATTGAGTCCCGTAGCTCTTACTTTTAGGACTTACGATAAAACTTGCGTGGGTCCACGGGGCGGATATTCGTGTAGACCCATATAGTCTGGTCGCCGAGCACGTAGAATTTTGTCCAATGACCCCAAGCTACCCATCTTTATCGCTCGCGCGTAATTATATTGCTGTCGCGACTGTGCGACGGGCGGCAGCAGTGAGTGTACGAGCGCAACAGCAACATAATTACGCGCGAGCGATAAGGATGGGTAGGGGTCATTGGACAAAATTCTACATGCTCAGAGACCGGGCTTTACCACGCGTGCATGAGCGCGCGCGAGTTTTAGTGGAGGCCCTAAATGCCTTAATATAGCATGTACTGTTGTTTGTACTCAAAAAACTATGTACTCGTACCTGTACAGGCGAGTGCGTGGGCGAAAACTCCGAACTGTACGAGTAGCAGGAGGAGTGCGAGGCGTCGCTATTGTTGCGCGACAGAGACGGCGTGTAGTGCCTCGAGGCCCGAGGACTGGCCGAAGGACTGCTGTATACACTGCGGAAAAAATGAGATAGTAAAAAAAAGCTGAATTGAGAACCCCCTCGGATTCATCATCATCATCATCATCATTTCAGCCACAGGACTAAAAGTTAAATATTATTTGTAACGTATTAACGTTAAACATGACGCGCGAGCGAAACCGATAACGTTATGCAGATTATTTTATCTGTGGAACGATTCGCGCCCTTTTCTTAGTAATCCCTCCGTGCCATTTCTTTTCTCCCCGTGACCATTGCCGTGACTCGGTGTGTACAAAAATAATAGGACAAAATTAATTACCTGTTTGATGGAAATAATCTACTTAACGCTAACGGCATCGCTCGCGTGATTCAAATACGCTCAGTAGTGTTCGATACAAACTTTCTAGCCTAGCACAGAATCATGTTTTTTCGGAGTTCATAGCGTCGTTGCCAAATTGTAACGTAAATATGTTTATGTTCTACAATTTGTCCGCTTTCGTTTGCTATACAGGAGTATCTAATATCTATCTATGCTATAGAAAAATATAAAGCTGACTATACCTGTGCGTGTACATGGAATGCACTGCAGAGTCGGTACTGGCGCTAGACTGGACCCGTGGTAGCCGGCCCAGTAAGGGTGATCCGTGCAAGGCGCCTAACAGCTTGTCCATGCCTACAGAGGGCTCGCATTTTAGCTCTGTAAGTAGATGAGAATAAGGGTTATTATAGCTTGAAAATTAGGCAGTTCTACAATTTGGTCTAAGTCACTTTTTGGCGACAAAACAATTGCTGCAAGTCCATAAAGCATGGTCGCCTACTATGATCATGACTCATGATTTCATGTTAAGGTCATCAATGCATCGAGCATTGGGCGATCTTAGCTGTATTTACCAAGATGCGTTTTCTAGTGTACTTACTCGGCCGCAACGCGCCCTGTTTACGTTACTCGAGAACTTCTAAACGAGAGATCTTTTAAAACAATATAAAGCTAAGCGTCCACTTGTCGGTATCGTACGCAACGGACGCATCGTACTAAACACATCGTATCGGATTTGCGATGCGTACGATGCGGACAGGTGGACGCACTTATATGAGTTTCTATTATAAATAATACTACGATCCGTTGCGTGCGATACGCCCGATGCGTACGATACCGACATGTGGACGCTATTCTTTATAGTTTGTTTGCACAAATGACTGATAGTCTCGGTAACCCCACGTCGTTTATTAGGAGTGGCTTCACCAGAATAATCCAGGAGATGACGGAGTTCGAACACTTCGAACCCACATTCGTCGTATCTCGAGTCGACCAGTCCGAGACCTTCACCGTTGAGTTATTGTCTCCGTTGAGCGTCTTACACCCCGTTTGCACAGAAGCAGTCCCTACTCAAGTATCCATTTACTCCACCTTTTTTCTGACATACCTGAGAGCTGCGTTTCCTTCTTGATGGTCAAGTTCTGCACCTCCCCTAGCGAGGTCTGCGGCATGATTGGCACGTTGTTCTGGTCGAGGACCAGTGACGTGGCGCTGCTGGGAGAGGAAGGCCGCCTGGCTAACGAGAGGGAGGTGTTGTCTGTGAGGACTGATATCTGAAATAAAGATTATAAATGAGCGTTTTGCTGAAGACCTTTGACAGGTATTGCGAGCTTCAAGGCTTCAAGGTACTTCTATAATGTACCCTATTTGTGATACTCTTACAGAAGTTTGTCGATTGCGAGGAGAATTTGGGGTTTTGAAATACGCCCAATTTGTGATACTCTGCATACCTACTTACGGACGAATGTTCTTATTCTAATTCTGAGAAAATTAGACATGGGAAGCGTGCCCTCTAAAATACGTATTCCTGCGATTTCCTAACCAAACTAGGCAACAAATACAAGTTATTTACACTCAGAATTTCAGTGTCTAAACAATCTCATACTTCGCACTGGACTCATACTTCGAGCCTCGGTTTTGATGGGCTCCGTCTTGATGGTGACATCATTGTTTCAATAAATGAATGATGAAGTACCAACCCTGTTCATACTGAGGCTCCTCTGATGCGGCTGCAGCGCGGGGTACTTGAGGTCCAAGGCCCTGTGGTCATCCAGGCTCTGGAAGGCCTCGGTTTTAATGGGCTCTCTTGATGGTGACACTGTATCAATAAATGAATGATGAAGTACCAACCCTGTTCATACTGAGGCTCCTCTGATGCGGCTGCAGCGCGGGGTACTTGAGGTCCAAGGCTCTGTGGTCATCCAGGCTCTGGAAGGCCTCGGTCTTGGTGGGCTAAGGTGGCTTCTTGTCCCTAACACATGATGATAACGCAGTACCAACCTTGTTCATACTGAGGCTCCGGTTCAGCACGGGGTACTTGAGGTCCAAGGCTCTGTGGTCATCCAGGCTCTGGAAGGCCTCGGTCTTGGTGGGCTAAGGTGGCTTCTTGTCCCTAACACATGATGATAATGCAGTACCAACCCTGTTCATACTGAGGCTCCTCTGATGCGGCTGCAGCGCGGGGTACTTGAGGTCCAACGCTCTGTGGTCATCCAGGCTCTGGAAGGCCTCGGTTTTTGGCTCCGTTTTGATGGTGACGTTGCGCAGCGTGTCGATGGAATCCCGCGACGACTGCAGGTCTAAAGAACTGCTGTTTTCGTCTGTAAATTTAATTGTTTTGGTAAGCTGTGGAAAATTTGGTTGACGAGCGGATGAATATTTTATAGAGTTCCATAATATGTAAAACTTCGCACTTCTCCTATGCTTTTCTGATTAATTTCGTTACGGGTCCAATGACAGTTTAACTTTATTCAAACTTGATCTTCACTGGTTGTGTTTTGATTGGCGGTCAAGCTGTAGATCCTGGCTACACACGAGTTGCAGCAATGGTAACAAGAAGTGGCAATAGTCCCGTTCCATGTGTACATTAATTCAACCCGCGAGCGATAGTTAATCAAACTTTGAATACCACATTTCCTAAATTCAGAAATATAATCTAGTATGCTAGAGTCGAAAAAATATTCTGTAATCCTTGGCAACTGGAGCAGTGAGAAAAAAAATTGAAATATCTCACATATTTCATGATTTCTTTTTCGGTTGGCTATTTCTTGGCTGCAAAGCTTAATCCAGGAAATAGAAAAGTTCTAAGGAAACTAAATATCTACCTATCATTGTAAATAGGCCAAAGACAATCTTTAACGTTAATTTGCTTACCATTATTGACGCTGGTGTCTATAACCATCTCGGAGTCCGACAGCTCTCCCTCCCAGGACATGGGCCTCTCACGGTCGCTGGACTGAGGCTCGGCCTGTGCGCCGCTGGCTGGCCTTTTCTTCTTGTTGCGCATGTTCACCTGTAAGAAAACAAGTTTGATTATGTTATGAAATAAAACAATACATTGTACCTACTCCATCGGTAATAGAATTCCATGACATAAGCACATAGACACCACCTCCAACCAAAAGACGTTAATGTTGACCTTCTCCAGATCTTCTGTCTACTAAGTGAAGGCCTGCTACGTCTACGATTTCCGGTCCTTAGTTGCCACTCGAAACTTTTTAGATAGAACCTTAGATTAAATCTAAGGATAGAACCTGATAGACCTGATAGATAAATTAGTTTTACGAACTACGAGCTTAGGGTTTAATTTACAATAGTATCTAGGGTCATCTGAGTGACTTTATTGGAGTTCTGAAGGTCTACAGAGAGGAGATACAAGATGTAGTGATCATCAAAGACATTGAATACTTATGACTATAATTTGTATATTTTAAAGACTGTAAACCCTTGAAAAGGAGGCTGACAATAGTGACTGAATTTCGTGCGCTGCTTCTTCTCAGCACTGGCCCATTTATTGTCCCGAAGCAGTGGTAGGGTTAATATTGGGACATGTAAAAGTGCTTTTTAAAAGCCTATTTGCAAAAATAAATTAGTTTTTTGAGTTTTTATTGTGATTGTGACCAGCAAACGCAGCGGTGTTTTTGCTTATTTTATCAGTGACAAAATGATGATTCATTTGTTTTTAATACAAGTTTCTAATTACCTCGTTTTGATGTTGTGTGAAGTCGATCTTGGAGACCTCGGCGTCAGTGGAGTCCTCATCGTGCGGGTCCGAGGACACACTGATGCGCACCCCACTTGAGCTGTACGAAAACTTCACTGAAAAACACAATATTTTATATTTTAACAAAAATAATAAGTAACAACAATAATAGGGCTCAATCTAGCTGACTAACAGAATCTGCTACAAGGCCATATCAAACATTAATAGCATTATTTTACTAACTTTTCGGACACCAATCCTAATAGGTGTTAGGCTGAGTTGCACCATCTTACTTAAACTTTGACAAACGTCAAAAATCTGTCAAAATCCATACAAAAAGCACCGGTTACCGTCAAAGTTACGGTTAAAGTTAGGTGGTGCAACTCACCCTAATTGTTCTACTTTGCCTATAAATAGGGTCTTCTTACAAAGGGCAAACTACAATAATTTCAAGAATTTATATTGCACATGGCCCTAACTTCCTATCCTGGTAGATATTGATTAAATTTTTATTCTCGTGTTTCTTCCCTTCGTATAAATATAGTGTAATCAAAATTCGATTATCATAATGGAGTCCGCTTCGTATATGGTAATGTAGTTCAGTACCCTTAAGTGGTGCGCGTGGTGCGTATATTTTTATCGATATGAGGGTAACGGCCTCTCCCTTCGCTTATCTTTTTTATTATGCAACGGAAAATAAGATCCTCTTTGGTGTTGACAACGTTAATTGGGAGTGAATCAAATAACATTGGAACACGAAGCTCTTATCTTTAAAAACAATTATTCACGCCTTCCAGTTAGTTTATTGTTTGGATACTCGTTATCTAGGTAGGTACGCACTTATTTCCCTAAACCTTCGTAGCTTGATTATTACCCTGATTTTAACAATTTTAAGGAAATTGCTTAAATAATCTTATGGCTTTTAGTCTTAGGACGCCTGATTGTTTATAATTTCGAAGCCTTTATCAAAATGCTNTTGGTGGTAGGGCTTGTTCTAAGTCCGCCTGGCTAGCCACCACCATCTTACCTAAGTCTGTCGCCATGTGTTCCGGCAGTTGAGGTAAGATAGCCAGTTCCTCCGTGGTTGAGGATTCCGGGTGAAGCTCGCTTCCACCTTCGGCCTGATCATCACTTACCATCAGGTGAGATACAGGCCAAGAGCTTCCTCGTTGTGGATAAAAAAAAGTGTAAGTATTCATTCATTATCATGGGCTATCTTACTTTTATCACCTCAACTGTGATTCTTATGACACCACAATATTCACCATCATCAGTTCGATAAATTGCTTAATATTCACTAGATTGCCTTCAAATATTGCTGCTATTTCATGAGCGATACACGAGCTGCCAGCTATCGATAAATACTATTATTTTTATTTTAGGTAACTTTCTATCCGCCGATGCCCGATGGGGCTGCAAGGTTCTGGAGTGGAGGCCGCGTACCGGAAAACGCAGCGTAGGACGTCCACCCACAAGGTGGACCGACGACATCATAAAGGTAGCAGGAAGGCGCTGGACGCAGGCCGCTACCAACCGGGCAACATGGAACATTGGGAGAGGCCTACTATGTTCAGCAGTGGACAATCCTATGGCTGAGATGTTGATGGATGATGATTGATGAACCTTCAATCATAATTCATAGGATATCCCATTACTTACCTAGTTTCTTTACGGTCTTCGGTTGAATGCGTTTTATCAAAACTGAACATTAGGCAATGGAAGATTTGCATAATTATCTAAAAGCGCTAAAATATTTACCCATATGGGACATGACATAGCGTAGGTAAGAAATACCTATATTTACTTACTACATACAAGATAATCTGTGACATTAATTATGTTATAATTGAACATCCTGTATATTGGCAGTGCAGGTCGTAACTAAATATTAGACCTTGTGTTCATTAATTAAATATTGAAATGTAAACCGTTTCTTTTTAAATAAATATGAAATTAATCCTAATATACTTAAATTGCACGGCAAATAAAAAAGTAAAAGCGATTTAATCCCAAGTTTATTTTTAAAAATATAAACAAATTACATACTTAGTTGCACTTATAATAATATAACATATACTTACCACTAATATGAACTGAGTATAGGCTAAGGGAACTGCCTCTGTGACACTGTGAAAGTAATTATTTTGCTGTGAAAGTCATCTTGAAAACTACATAACCTCGATCAAAATAATAATTATCATCTTCATTCTGCTTTTATATGAACAACGCCATCTATTAGCGTTTCCCTGAACTAGCTGTGCACCTTTTTGACTGCTTTCGGTTGAACTTGTCATAGTTTTGATTACATGCAACAGAGGGATCTTACCTGTATAATTAATATTTAGAAAGAAATTACTACACAAGAAAAATGTCTAAACCAACATCTGCTTCTTCTGACTGTGCTAGCTGTGGAAAGTCACTACCTAAAAGTGAATTCATGCGATGCTCTATATGTAAGGCTGGTTATGACCTTGACTGTATTAATCTAAGTACTCAACGCTACTATTCGTTCTACAAGCTGGATAAGAAGCGACGCGACAGTTGGAAATGCCCCAAATGTGACAAAGCTACTAAAAACATCCCCCTTACCCCAGCGCGCCCTATCAAATCACCTGAGCCAGCTAGTAATATTACCCTCCGACGGCCGAAGTCAACACCCACGGAGGACTGTTCTGGCGATATGAACGAGGAATCGGACGAGCTGACGGACGAAGTTGTATCCCCATCGGATATGAAGATGTTCCTCAAAGAAATGCGAGCAATGCGTACTGAAATGAGCATGTTTCGTGCGGCAATCTCAGATCTAACGTCGACAATCAAATCCCTAAACTCGCGCCTGGATTCCCTTGAAAGCAGGGTGGATGTTCTCGAAGTCAGACAGACCGAGGAGCATGATAACTCAGTAGTTGCTAAGTTAGAACAAACAATTACGCAACTTAAACTAGACATCGAAGAAAGAGAGCAGGAGTCGTTGGCCAATGACATCGAGATTGCCAGCTTTCCGGAGACCCAAAACGAAAACTCCATCCATGTCATGCTCACAGTAGCGAAAAAACTGGGCGTGGAGCTTGAGGAGAGCGACGTGGTGAGTGCGCAGCGTGTGGGCGGCCCGCGGGTCCCGACGGCCGGCGNCTTCGGTTTTTGGCTCCGTCTTGATAGTGACGTTGCGCAGCGTGTCGATGGAATCCCGCGACGACTGCAAGTCTAGCGAACTGCTGTTTTCGTCTGTAAAATAAATTGTTTTGGTAAGATAAGGAAGGTTATGCTAACTGCTAGACTTCCATACATATTTAATCAGTGTATTTATTTAATCCGCGATTGTTGACCTGAACAAAGATTGAATTACCACACTTGATTTTGTGTTCCTGATGCGAGAATAGGATTTAGGAGTCCAGAATCGAAAGCATATCTACAGATCTTTGAACATTAGAGCAGAGATAACATATTGAAATAACACGTACGAGTATCTATACTAATATTATAAATGCGAAAGTAACTCTGTCTGCCTGTCTCTCTCTCTTTCACGCCAAAACCACTGAACCGATTTTGATGAAATTTGGCATAGAGATAGTTTGAGTCCCGGGAAAGGACATAGGATAGTTATTATCCCGGTTTTTGAAACAGGAACGCACGTGATAAAGTTTTTCTGTGAAAGACAAAAATCGACGCAGGCGAAGCTGCGTGCGGAAAGCTAGTATTTCATAAAATAAAAATTTGAGCTCAAAGGCTTCAAAGTTTAAGCCAAGAAATAGCAAACTTCTGAGGAAACTAAGAACCTATCGTTGTAAATAGGCCAAAGACAATCTTTAACGTTAATTTGCTTACCATTATTAACGCTGGTGTCTATAACCATCTCGGAGTCCGACAGCTCTCCCTCCCAGGACATGGGCCTCTCGCGGTCGCTGGACTGAGGCTCGGCTTGTGCGCCGCTGGCTGGCCTTTTCTTCTTGTTGCGCATATTCACCTGTAAGAAAACATTTTTGATTGAGTTATTTATGGAATAAAACAGGACTCCATCGATAATAGAATTTCATGACATAAGCAGACACCATCTCCAACCAAAAGACGTTAATGTTGACCTTCTCCAGATCTACGGTCTACGAAGTGAAGGCCTGCTACGTCTACGATTTCCAGTCCTTAGTTGCCACTCGAAACTTTTTAGATAGGACCTGAGGTGGAATTGTGTAAAGCAATCATTATCATTTGACAGTTCATAACGTACTTACGATTATTCTATCAAACGCTTTGTTTAACTGACTTTATCGTACTACGTTATGAACTGTCAAATGATTACGATTGCTTTACACAATTCCACCTCTGATAGACCTGATAGATACTTAGTTTTACGAACTACGAGCTTAGGGTTTAATTTACAATAGTATCTAGGGTCATCTGAGTGACTTTATTGGACTTCTGAAGGGCTACAGAGAGGGAGATGCAAGATGAAGTGATCATCAAAGACTGTAAACCCTTGAAAAGGAGGCTGACACTAGTGACTGAGTGTTCTTGCGCTGCTTCTTCACAGCACTGGCCCATTTATTGTCCCGAAGCAGTGGTAGGGACAGTTAATATTAGGACATGTAAAAGTGCTTTTTAAAAGCCTATTTGCAAAAATAAATTAGTTTTATGAGTTTTTATTGTGAACCAGCAAACGCAGCGGTGTTTTTGCTTATTTTATCAGTAACAAAATGAAGATTCGGCCTTTTGTCGGATTTTTGTCGGCCGTTTGGTGTAGTGGTTCGAAACGGACTACTATTCCGGAGGTTGCGGGTTCGATTCCCGCACAGTACAAACATTTGTGTGTATGAACATATTTGTTTGTATTGGACTGGGTGTTTTCTATGTATAATATGTATGTATTTACAAAAAAAAAAGTATTTATGTATGTTTATATCCGTTGTCTAGTACCCATAGTACAAGCTTTGCTTAGTTTGGGACTAGAAGCGCAGTGTAAAATGTCCAAGGATATTTATTTATTTATATTTATTTATTCATTTGTTTTAATTACGTTTCTATTTACCTCGTTTTGATGTTGTGTGAAGTCGATCTTGGAGACCTCGGCGTCGGTGGAGTCCTCATCGTGCGGGTCCGAGGACACACTGATGCGCACCCCACTTGAGCTGTACGAAAACTTCACTGAAAAACACAATATTTTATATTTTAACAAAGTCCCAAGTTAATCGAAAATGTCTTAACTAAATGTAAAAATAGTGCTCTATCTAGCTGACTAACAGAACCTTCAAAGTCAGGTTAACAAACATCATTATAATTTACTAACTTTTCGGACCCCATCCTAGGCATTAGGCTGAGTTGCACCACCTTATTTTAACCGTGACTATAACCATAACCGGTGTTTTGTATGGAGTTTGACAGACTTTTGACGTTTGTTAAAGTTAAAGTAAGATGGTGCAACCCAGCCTTAATGTCCTACTTTGCCTATATTTGCCGAAAGACAAACTCTACTATAATTTCAAGAATTTATATTGCACATGGCCCTAACTTCCTATCCTGGTAGATATTGATTAAATTTTTATTCTCGTGTTTCTTCCCTTCGTATAAATATAGTGTAATCAAAATTCGATTACCATAATGGAGTCCGCTTCGTATATGGTAATGTAGTTCAGTACCCTTAAGTGGTGCGCGTGGTATGTATATTTTTATCGATATGAGGGTAACGGCCTCTCCCTTCGCTTATCTTTTTTATTATGCAACGGAAAATAAGATCCTCTTTGGTGTTGACAACGTTAATTGGGAGTGAATCAAATAATATTGGAACATGAAGCTCTTATCTTTAAAAACAATTATTCACGCCTTCCAGTTAGTTTATTGTTTGGATACTCGTTATCTAGGTACGCACTTATTTCCCTAATCCATCGTAGCTTTATTATTACCCTGATTTTAACAATTTTAAGGAAATTGCTTAGTTTTAGGACGCCTAATTGTTTATAAAAAGCTTATGAAAAATACATACCGTTATTGGTCTCCGGGCCGGACATGCTGATAGTGGTGACTGACACGTGAACCCCTTCCACCTTCACGGGGTCTACCTCGCTCGACATCGCGCTCATCACCACCCCGAGCCACAGACACTCATTACACAACTATCGATATCGATAATCGACGCTTTCACTTCACTACACTGTAAAGCACCATTCACATGTGTCTACTAAAAATCCTCCAAAAATAGCGTTTTAAAATTTTGCTCAAAAATTATTGATTTCTCCACATTATAAACTCTTGATCATCTCGCGTCGCTGCTCATGGTTAAGGCAGATGAAGTCAGTCTTGCGAAATAGGCGCTGTAGGCTGTGCATAGTCTTATTCCTTTGCTTGTGTTCAGGGATGGTGTTCTATTCGAAGCCAAGTTTAGAAGCGGATTATAGCCCGGTGACGGTAAAATCATCTTGGTTAATCTGGAAAGAAAAGAAAAATTTTATTAGTTAAAAAAATAAAACCAAATTAAAAAAAATAAAACCAAAACAGATAGTTAACTGCACCAAGAAGTTAAAATTAATAAGAACCTTAATCAATCACATAAAAACAAGAGCTCAAAACTTTTAAAATTAAAAACAAAAGCTTTAAAAAACAACGAACGCGGCAAACGTCATACACAATTCAAATTTGGAATGAGCGGTCTGTTTCGAAACCGTCGTGTTTGTGTACACGTACGAGACGCGTCGCGCCGCGGCCTTGCGATCGACTAGTGCTGCGAGATAGCGCACGATAATAATATCGATACCTACGCCCGACCTCGTGTCATTGGCATTTTGTTTACAGCGCCGAGGGCGAAGCTCGCCCGCGATAACGTAGATACTGCGTCAGAGCATGTTGAATGAATAGTCATTTTAGCGTTGTTGCCTAAACGGATATTTTTATGTAATTTACTAAACTGGTAATTTATACGATCCTTTGAGTTGTATGTTAAAGCAACAACATAACGTTGTGTTTAATATTTTTTATCGATAATAGCTTAGACACAAGCGCAATGGGAAGAGAAGGGGGGAGGTGTAGCGGCCTTCACGAAGCCGGTTGTAGCGACCGGCCGGCCGCCATTTGAGCATTTCGCCTTTCGCGCAGGCAGGACTGGTCCGCCGCTCCCATTACTCCAACTCGTGGTAACGCAGCTAATAACATTGGTTTGATGCGAAAATCACGAGGATCGCTAGTTTTATTACGACTTACAACGTTTTCATAAACTTTTTATGCTAAATAGTTGTTTGGCTCATAGGTCTGTCACCGTACAATGAACTTTTCACAGAGGACGTTCACTTTTGTAATGGGAAAACTATGAGCAATTTTTGGCAAGATAATTGTTTAGAAACGATCAAAGTTCAAACATATAAAATATATTTGCGGAACAACGTTGCTTTGGTATTCAGCAGCTATTGCGAAGAGAAAATACTAAAAAGGAAACGATAGATATCAGACGCGAACGTCTGGCAGGCCAATTAGCATCCAATAAAGTCCTTTGCCCCCAGACATTTCTCAGTTATCGCTTATCAACAGACAGTCTTGGGGACACCATTTAATTGCCAATTGCATAATGGCTGACATTATTTTGCAATGCTACTAATTTTAGTTTAGTTACTAATAAATACAAAGCTATGAGTCTCTAAGCTTGGTTGAAGTTAATAGATTGAAATTGTCACAACACTTTCGGATTAATCCTTTGATGATAATATTAAATAAATCAATTTATAAATAAATTATTTGTTTATAATTTAAGTGATGATTTAAGTATTTGGACTAATAAGCCCTATATCAACAATATTATCTAAATAAAGGCGACTTATATTATTATTGCGTTCTTTAATTAATTCAAGGAACAATCGAATTAATGCCGTTTCTTTCTACCCATTGCCACGTGGAGCAGTGTGAGCGAGATAAATATAAATTTTGTGTCCTAATAAAAGGAGTTCATCTGCACGCAAGATGGCGTCATCGTGGCCTAGACAAGGCCGAGCGGTCATTTGTACGATACACCAGACATGCGGCTTTGTCCGCGGCAAGATCTTTTATGTTGATTTTTATTCGTTTTAAGCCAGAATTAACACGTTTTTTTTATCTTTAACTTAAAGAACATTATTTTCATACAAAAAGAGAGTTTTTATGTCTCTATCATTCGGATTCTTAATTTTGAAATTAATATTCACGTCCAGCTGACAGCATAAAAAAACTGAATGGTTTCAATCAAGGATATCAAAACACATAAATTGTTTGATATAATGACGTTATTTTTAGGTAACAGGAGGATTCTTGTTTATTAGATCAAATAAACAATAAAACAGCTTGATTCAATTTATTGCAATTAATATTCACGTCCATCATCAAAAACTGAATGGTTTCAATCAAGGATATCAAAATGTTACTATAATACTGTTTGATATAGGAAGGTTCGAGCAATGTCCTTGTGTTGTTATTAAAACTTATCAATAAGGTTGCTACTTGAGACGAGGCGTCGACCGATAATTATCATAAGGTCACAGCTTTATCTATGTGACGTAAACATCGTGCCATGCATTGTGATAATGTCAGCAGGTGCACGTACAGAAAACAGGATTATAAATATCAAAATTATCCTTTCATGATACCACCAAATTGATCTAGTATTTTTCCGATCGATTACATTTAAATTCGTGACATTTGCAGCTGCTAAAATTCAAAATAGGCACGTGACTTGAATTGCAACTATCGTAGTTAGATTCAGATTAGATTGGTGGCACGAGACTTAAGATNTTTAAGATATTTTTCAGTTACGCAAAATAAATTTTAACAAGTATCATATCAATTGGTACAGACGATAGCTTGGCTAAACAACTAGGATCCATTAGAAGTTAGAACTAACAAGGTGTTGACCAAACTAATTTGAGTTGTTTACATTCACACGTAGCTGCTGAAAATCTATGCGCGTCATTTTCCTATGTCCTTGACACCTATGACTGATGTGAGGTCGTGAGTCCCCTAGAGTACGACGCACCCCGTCGCCCACGCGGTACTAAAATAGAAGAGGTTAATACTCTCCAGTTTCTACGATCCTATCAAGGAACAAAGAATCCTGATCGATTCACACCTGCCAAGGAAACACGCAACGGCGAAGGCAACAAACTTTCCTTCCTACTCGGCAAGGTTATTAGTTTATGTAATATTTATATGAAATATCGTGTGATTTTTGGACGTGTTGCTTTGCAGTGGCATCAATCATTCACTATGTTGCCTCCTTCCATTAACCTTTGAGTGCGAAAACCTGTCTTAGAAGCAAAGCTCGCACAGGACTCGACTTTTGTCTTCAAATCAGCTATTTTTAGAATGTTCGTAGAACGAATTTGAAAGTCTTCAAACTGATCGAGTAACAGAATGCGTTGGAATTATTGGAATCACAGCAAACTCAAGGCGAACCTGATTTAGAGCTGCAAAAACAGCAATAAAACCGATGAGATTAATCAACTAAATAAGAAACTTTATGCAAATGGCTCATAAGTCAAAAATATTAATAGATAATATTGTTGATGTTCAACAATATTTAAACATTTAACTTATTTATTCACCCAGACTCTTCAACAACAAAATCATTTTCTTTTTTTTCTGCAGAATATTTTAACGAACAACTGCAAATTCCTTAGAAGTATCATTAATGACAAATTAAGTTGAATGAAAATAGGTATGACCTTACGATAAGACCAACGCATCGATGTTTTAATCATTGAACGTGTCAACAAAATTCAGATTCTCTATTATTAGACTAAAATTAGACATCATTATTTGGCAGCTGAAAATTTTAAATCACTAACATAATAATAATAATACCAACAGATGTTTGCAGTTGGATTTAGTGAACTCATAACAAATGTAGCTTTATTATCTATCAAATATTTAACTAAAGTAATATATTATGCAAAAAATAACACATTGCTTAGAAAAGCGCAAAGCAATTTTCACAACTTCCTCTGAACAATAAATAAATGTCGCATATAAAGAACATAAATAGTTGATAACAAAAACAATTGCATTGCGAAATTTGTCGCTCTAGACATGATTGCCTTTCAGTAGCTAGCACAGAGACAAATTAACCTAGTTTTATTTGAAATAAAATGCTTTTTTTATTTAACATTTACATTAGGATGGCATTAATATAACATTGAAATTAAACTGATGAAATAACACGTTATAATCAGAATGTAGCTTAATCGGCCTTCAGTCTAGTTAGTGCTCAATATAAAGTGTATTTTAAACATAAATCAGTACCGTCTTTTAAATATCATTAATATAATTTAAGTCAAATTATGCGTCGCAAGAACACGTTCTTCATCGGCAATATTATTTGTTTAACTTTCAGAAACCAGACAGCAGCTGTCCAAACTGTATGAGCAAACACGAACGCGAATATTGAGGCTGTAATACATTCATTATACTCGTAGTTAGCAATTATCCAAGGCTAAAAGGTTTATTTGTTCAATTCATAGTATCGATAAATTACTATCGATATTTTTTTGATGCGAGAACATCACTTGCGAGTTGCGTCTTAGGTAGGTAAATAAAATTTCAATCCTAAAGTAGGTATTGCATGACGTAGACTGCTTTAGCAGCTGTAATAAACCAATTTATAAAATCAAATAAATTTAAATTGTTTGATTGATTTTGATTAATTCTATCCAATTACGTACTTGAAGTTGCTGTCTGTCTAGCGGTTAATACAAAATTATTGCAACTTATAGCGTACTAACCTACGTTGTGTCATAGACAAGTTGCCTTAATGAACTGGTTGGACCATAAATAACAAAAGGTACAAACTGTAGGGTCTGTTCTCTGTTGCGAATTACAATTTACAATACAAAACGCAGCTGCAGTTTGATTTTAGAGTTGTTGTAATTTTGGAACGATCGAAATATTTTAATTAAACACTGAAGTAATATAACATAGGAAAAAAATTAGTAATCTAAAGTTTTCTAATCATCGTATTTAAAAAGCTAAACTATGAAATACTTTGAAGCTAGTTGCTAAAAAATATATGCCTCTAAATAGAGGCACATCTTTTGTTTTTTACACCTACAAGGTGTAGATTAATGAACGCTTCTCTACATAGCCTAATAAAGTAAGTTAAT